TAGGTCACATTTTTCCAGGGAAATGAATCCTTTTTTTTTTTTTTTTTTAAGGGTTATTTATTTAAAAGGCAGAGTTACAGAGAGGGAGAGGCAGAGACAGAGAAAAATCTATCTGCTGGTTCACTCGCCAAATGTCTACATCAACCAGGCTGGGCCAGGCCAAAGTCAGGAACCAGGAGCCTCCTCCCGGGTCTCCCACATAGGTGTAGGGGCCCAAGCACTTGGGCCATCTTCTGCTGCTCTCCCAGGTGCATTAGCAGGGAACTGGATCAGAAGTAGAGCAGCCAGGACTCAAGCTGGTGCCCGTGAGGGAGGCAGGTGCCACGGCAGCTTCACTTGCTAAGCCATGGTGCCAGCTTCAGGGCAATGGATCTCTTACAGCCATTGAACCTGATCATTTTTTAACACTGGCCTGGCCTGACTTTTACTTAGATTCTCTGTGTTTCTGCTGCTTCTTCTTTTTTAAAGATTTATTTATTTATTCGAAAGTCAGAATTATACAGAGAGAGGAGAAGCAGAGAGAGAGAGAGAGAGAAAGAGAGAGGTCTTCCATCCGATGGTTCACTCCCCAATTGGCTGCAACAGCTGGAGCTGCGCCAATCCGAAGCCAGGAGCCAGGATCTTCTTCCTGGTCTCCCTCGCAGGTGCAGGGGCCCAAGGACTTGGGCCATCTTCTACTGCTTTCCCAGGCTGTAGCAGAGAGCTGCATTGGAAGTGGAGCAGCCGGGTCTCAAACCGGTGCCCATATGGGATGCTGGCGCTTCAGGCCAGGGTGTTAACCTGCTGTGCCACAGCGCCAGCACCCTGTGTATTTTTAAAGTTAGTAATTTGTTCATTTAATAATAGCATGCCTGCACCACTATCTTTTTTTTAAAGATTTATTTATTTTATTTGAAAGTCAGAGTTACACAGAGAGAGGAGAGGCAGAGAGAGAGAGAGAGAGAGAGGTCTTCCGTCCGATAGTTCACTCCCCAGATGGCCGCAATGGCTGGAGCTGCACTGATCCGAAGCCAGGAGCCAGGAGCTTCTTCCAGGTCTCCCATGCCAGCACTTCAGGCCAAGGCGTTAACCCGCTGGGCCACAGCACCGGCTGAACCACTATTATAATAATAACTAGGCTTTTTACCTGCATTATTGCACTTACTCCTCATGTTGGCTCTGTGAAGTAGGTTTTGATATTATCCTGTTTTTATTTTTTAAAGATATATTTTATTTATTTGAAAGACAGAGTTACAGAGAGAGAGGTAGAGACAGAGAGAGAGGTCTTCCATCCTCTGGCTCACTCCCCAGGTGGCAACAATGGCCAGAGCTGCGCCTATCTGAAGCCAGGAGCTTCTTCCAGGTCTCCCATGCGGGTGCAGGGGCCCAAGGACTTGGGCCATCTTCTACTGCTTTCCCAGGCCATAGCAGAGAGCTGGATCGGAAGTAGAGCAGCCAGGACTAGAACCAGTGCCCATATGGGATGCTGGCACTTCAGGTCAGGGCTTTCAACCCATTGCGCCACAGCACCAGCCCATACCCCTGTTTTATAGATAAAAAACATGTATGTTTCCACAGAGAGGTAGGTAATTTGCTTGTAGTTACACAGCAACAGAATAGAATCTGGCATAGTAAGTAGTACTCAATTAAGCTTTGTGTAATGAATTATATATTTTATTATTATCTAAAGATTCAGTTTCTGTGTTAAATATTCTTCCTTTTCCATATATAAGAAATGTGTGTTAGTGTTTAGACATGAAATACGTTTTAATTACTCTTAGAATTCTTGTTGCATGAAATATGAACTTTTTACAAAATTCACTTGACATAAGTGCAAATAAACATGATTGACTATCATGCTATTTTGTTCCTCTGAGAGCCCATTATATTCTATAATAAATATACCTAATATTTAAGTCATAAATCTTCTATATACCTAGAACCCTGATATTGCCCTCAGAATTTATTTAGTGCAATGTCATACAATGAAAATTATGTAACTTGAGAATAATTAAGATTAAACGTTAGAAATGGCATTTTTAAAATCACTTTGCTTATTCAACATTTTCATGAGAAACAACCACAGCTTTCCAAGGTATTATCCTTGGCCTTGGGGAACAGCTGATGTCTGTTAATACTTTCTAGTTTCAGAAAAAGGATTCTCTCTTATACTATCAGTTTTACATTTATAAGTTAAGAAAATGAAGCCAAAACCAAAACAACCCAGAAAAATCCTTGAAAAAAATTTTGTCCCAAAAGCATGATTATGACTTATAGTTTAGAAGCAAACTTTGTTTTTGTTTTTTTTCCAATTAATTATTTATAGAAATAATTTACTTGCTTAACTTCCCCATTATCATTAAACAAGTGAATACACTAACCACCTATCTGGACACCAGCTTATTCTAGATTTATAAATACATACCAACACAAATATATACATCATGTATGTATACACATCAATATGCAAATATAACATACATATATACAGAATATATTGAATATATAATGTATATATGTATATGTCCTATGTATTTCACATATATAAATTTTGGAGAGGAAGCACTGCAGTTCAGGAAGGGCATAGACTTTGGGGATAGGATAGAATGTTCTGCTTTATACCATATGTATAATTCAGAGAAATGCAGGGAAAAATTCTCCAACTCTGTTTCCCTACTTGTAATATGAGAATAATAATATCTCACTAATAATGAATATTAAATGCAGTGAATTAATATAAGTTCTCAGCACAGTCAATATGTGTTTTAATAAATACCAGATCACCTTGTATTGACCTTCAGAGTGCTAATTATATTTATGGTAGTTCTTGGAATGTTCTTAGAAATTATTGTGCAAATTACCTCTGTTGTGGTACAAGAAGGATATTTTAACTCTAAAAAATATAGAAAGTTAACACAAAGTAGAAATTTAAGATGACAAATCATAACTGTAGCTTTACATTACCTCAGTAGTTAACTATAAGTTAAACTATAGAAATTATTCTTATTGGGGTACAAAATAGCCAAATATAGGCAAATTCATAATCCATTACCACTAGATACTTGAATTAGCTAATGGCTTCTTCAGTTTTGAATTCCTAAATATGTAATATTTTTAGGAAGAAAATTACTGAGCTGTTTTTCTTGTGCAAGGCATAGAAAGACATGCTCATTACAATTTGATCTAAACAGCAGTAGCAAGATATAAGCAAACAGAATGTCGTATTAGATGGAACCTTAGAAATTATCTCTAATTCTAGCACTTTTCTGATGTGAAAATGAGTTTTAAAAGATTGAGTGATATAGGTAAGATTAGAACTTAGATTTCCTGATTGCAACATGTATCTTTTTCATTATATCACATTTCTTTTCATGATGATTATTTGGCAATTATTTTTCTAATACTCTTTGTTATGGGTAGTCTTCCTTTGGTTTTGGCTATACTGAATGTAAATTTTTTTTAAACTGGGGCTAGTAATGTTGTGTTGGAGTGGGTTGTTGACAGCATAGGAAGGATTGGTAAAAGAAGTATTGATTGACAGGTATAGATATTAGCTGGCCCCAGTTTTTAGTTGATTTATATTAGGATGTTGAGATGTAGTTTTTTATTTTTGCTTTCAGATGACCTGATACAGCTAATAACATTATGTCCCCAAACTGAATTAATTCAATGTCTCACTAAAGAATGGAGTGGGAAACCACCATCTTTATCTTTTTGTCTTACCGTACTTCATCTATTCTCTGTAGACATGAAAAAGGTTGGGATTAAGCTACTTCAAGAAATAAATGCAGGTGGGAAAGGTAAGTAGGATAAAATGTTTTGGAAGACATAGTAGTGGGTTATTTAGAGAAAGGTTCATGATGATTATTTACCAGTTAACTCAAATTTTCCTTAGAGTTCTTTCTTAATTAGAGTTAACTTTTAGAGTTTGTAAATGTGAAGATTACCATGACAATAATGGTCTGTTAACAATAATATAAATTTCTTAAAAAAAAAAAAAAAGGCTTATTTACTTGAAAGAGCGACAGAGAAAGGCAGGGATCTTCCAGCCACTGGTTCACTCTGCAAACGGCCTACAAGGACCAGGCTGAAGCCAGGAGCCAGGAACTCCATCTGGATAGCAGGAGCCTTAGTACCTGGGCCATTTTCTTCTGCCTTCCCGAGCAGCTGGGTCAGAAACAGAGCAGCTAAGACTTGAACCAGCACCATGTGGAGGCTTAACCTGCTGTTTCACAATGCCAGCCCCTAGTATATATTTCTTGAGGGAAATGAGTGAAGAATTTATGGAGCCTGGGGGAGAATGTCATTGATCATAATAACTGATACGTTCTAAAAACTTTGCATATATTAACACATGTGTACACTTAGCAGTCTTTTAATATGTATTTTAAATTTTATCAAAATGCTATTTAGAAATTTCATACATTTTAATTCCTAAACCATATATATATATATATAGTTAAATATAATCTTCACTCTAACCTGATATTGCAGTGGGATTGAGAATAATAAATTAAATCTCACTCCCCCCATTCATTAACTTAATATAGGAACTTGAGCAGACAACTTGATTTTTTAAAAAAGATTTCTTTATTTATTTGAAAGTCAGAGTCACAGAGAAAGAGGGAGAGAAAGAGAAAAAGAGAGAGATCTTTCATTTGCTGGTTTACTCCCCAGACGGCTGCAACGGCCTAGGATGGGCCAGGGGGAAGCCAGGAGCCAGGAGCCTTCTCCGGATCTCCCATGTGGGTAGCAGGGGCCCAAGCACCTGGGCCACCCTCCGCTACTTTTTCCAGGCCATTTGCAGGTAGCTAGATCAGATGTGGAGACCTGAACCAGTGCCCATATAAGATGCTAGCGTTGCAGGCGGTGGCTTTACCTGCCACACCACAACAGCGGCACCAACAATTTGATTTTAAACTGTCTAAGGTCAAAAAACAAATGGCAAATTACTTGAAAGCATATTTATTAAGATAATTTTATAAGGGAGAGAACAATCCAACATGGGAAGCAAGATACACAGCAGACTCATAGAATGGCGGATGTCCTAAACAGCACTCTGGCCTCAGAATCAGCCCTTAAGGCATGCGGATCCGGCTGAAAAGCCCATGAGAGTATTTCAGGCATAGAAAGCCAAGACACTCTGGGAAAAAAACAAAAAAACAAAAAACAAACCAAAACTAAATGAAAGATCTCTGCGAGTGAGATCCCAGTGGAAAGAACAGGTCATCAAAGAAGGAGGTACCTTTCTCTGAAGGGAGGAGAGAACTTCCACTTTGACCACGACCTTGTCTAAATATGATCAGAGTCGGTGAACTCAAAAGGCTTCCATAGCCTTGGCAACTCATGATAAGAGCCTAGGGTATTACTGATGCCATAAACAAGAGTGTCAGTTTGTTAAGTCAACAACAGGAGTCACTGTGCACTTACTCCTCATGTAGGATCTCTGTCCTTAATGTGCTGTACATTGTGATTTAATGCTATAACTAGGACTCAAACAGTATTTTTCACTCTGTGTTTCTGTGTGGGTGCAAACTGTTGAAATCTTTACTTAATATATGCTAAACTGATCTTCTGTATATAAAGAGAATTGAAAAATGAATCTTGATGTGAATGGAAGAGGAGAGGGAGCAGGAAAGGGGAGGGTTGCAGGTGGGAGGGAAGTCATGGGGGGGGGGGG